CCCCCACCCCCCCCAACTAGAAATTTAGGAGCTGAGAGCAAATACTAGCAGTGTACTGGAGTCATGTAGGAGTTTGGGCAATGGCATGCACACTACAGTCTTTTTGCTTATGCTTGTGCACTGATTTGCTGATCTGTCTCTCTTTAGCTACATTATTGGTACAAATAATTTTTTTGAAGACACTTTGAAAACTGAATTCATATAAAATAAAGTCAAAGAGCAGTTCTAAAATGTTCAACAAATATTTGATTATCATTGAAGGGATCTGTGCTGAAGACACAGCATAACAGAGCATGACCACAAAGGAGAAGCTGGGTTCATCTCCTTGTGTTGATATGGGTAAGTGATGGCATAGGAAGGGCTTTACTTAGTAAGCAAGCCCCCCATGCTATTTTTTACTCTGAAGAATATATTCACACTGAAGATATCTTCAGCAGCTCAGCTAGGCCGTAGAGGGAGCTTTGGAACTTTCTCCCTGCTACAAAAGCAAGAAGATTATATGGGGAGTAGACTTTAGGCTCTCAGTCGTCTTCAGTACTTGTAAGATAGCAGGGGAATAGCAGGGGAGGTTAGGTTATCAAAAATAAACCACTAAAGTATGCTGTAGGGTTTTTTCCTGGCATCAGTGTTGTTACCCATTTCTGCGTATTCTGTTGAACAACTATGACATCTGCTGCCATAGTGCATAAATGTGTATGAGTAACTAGAAAAGTTTTGTTCAGAGCCTTAAATGAGTGCATGGTACTAAAATGCTCAAGAGTTCATCATTAGCTTACTCTAAGACAATAGTTCTGAAGTATATGTGTCGTAGGAATGCTAACATAGAAGTCTGTCTGATCCATAATGGTAAACCAATAAGGGAATTAAGTTTCAGGTACTCTCCTTTAAAGAGGATATGTTATTTTTGTCTTTACTTATGCAAAACTGTGGTGTTAGTTCTTAAAGGCTGGAGCTGCTTCCATCTTTCAGGGAAGACTAGCATAATGCTATAAGCAGTTCTTGACCAGTCGTTGGCTAGATGCATGTATGCTCCCACTTACATGTTTTGTGCTGATGTTATCCTTTTTTTTTCCTCACAGAATCAATAGCACTTGGTTTCTGTCCATGCCAGAAACTCCATCTGTTGAGTAATACATGTTTGACAGGTTTTAAGGAAGCTCTACTCCTGCAAACAAGTTAGAAGGTAGTGAAGACAGAAGCCATTTGTCTTAAAGAGAGTCACAGAAATAGTTAGAGAAGGTGGCAGAAACACTGGCATGTCTGAAAAAGAATAATTTAAACTTGGGACCAAACAAAATGTTTCTTTATCTGGCTCTTACCTGAGCTTTACCAAGCTACTTAGGTTAACATTCAGTGATTGTTGGTAATAATAATAAAAAAAAAGACAGAAATATTAATGATGTTTAGAGTATTATTAAGAATCTCATTTCTAGCCTGTAAATTTGGGGCAGCAGTTCTTCTCCAGAAGCACCCTGAAGTGTTCAGGTAGTAACTGTGGACCATATCAAGTAACTTGTGAGCCAGAAACCTATCGGTCTGTCTCCTGTCACCTTTAAGTAGATAACAATGCAATAGGTCATCTCTTGTTGAGGCACTATAAAGCTGTGTTTTCAAGACACCTGTATAATCTTTCAGTTGCTTATAGTCAAGTGAAGTGTTTGATCAGCTGCTTAGTCAAGTACACATAAAAGCCTATTAGTTCCAAAGGTTTAATTCTCTATTTCTCTATCAGTGTAATAAATTTTAAATGGAATTACACTTTGAGATTAATTTTTAGGCTGAGTATTTCCTTACTGGTGTGAGGGTTTCCTCTAAGACCAAGATAAGCAGCAGCTAGGTTTCTAGCTGTGTCTTTGCTTGAGACTGCAGAGGTAGGCTTTAGAATCTTCCATATGTGTTGGGGACAACTGCCTGATAGATTGGTTTTTCTGCCATCAGGCAGGTCATTGTCAGACTGTTCTAGGAAGCTTCCATTTGCAATAGAAGGTCTCTTAAACTTGTTTTCCTTATGTAGTCAGTAGTCTTGCACGCTTCTTTGGCTAAATGTTTGCCTGCAGAAGATTATATCTACTGTTCCTCAGTGTCCGAGTCTAAACACCACAAGGTACTATACAATTGCTTTAAATGCATTCAAATTTGCCCTGGAAACAGACTTCTGTCCTGCATAGGATGATGTTTCTTTAAAATATTAACAAGCTTGGTGTGGGGGGTTTGGGAGGGGTAAGTTGATATTTTCTGAACTGCTAAAATTGAGGCTGAAGCAAGATAACTGAAATGAGAAGATGTGCAGCTGGTTCTTCATGCATGTTATTCTAATGTTGTGACTCTCTAGTGTTCAGATAAGCAATGTAAAATTGACTTAAACTTTTAACTTATTTTGCGATAAAATATTCTTTAACCACTTTTTGACCTGGACTGCCAGCTGAAGCAGTATTTTAGCTTGCTTTCAAGAGCACAGATAAAGCATTGGATTTTTTGTTCAATAAAACCATGGACCTTGTTGACATGAGTGATATGTCAGTTGTAACAGCTCACCCCTTGATAGAAAAATGTCATCTCCTTTTATTGCCTCAAAAGCTTTAGCACTTTCTGTGTACTTAATTTATCAAGGAAGGTCAATGAAATAGTGAACAAGTGAAGACAAAATCTTAGTCTGGAATTGAAGAGTTCTCCAATGAACTTGATTACTGATTGCTTCTACTGAGTAATACATAATTTTACAAGTTGGTGTTGAACACTTAAATCCTTCAGCTAGAGCAGTCATACAACCTTACTTTTTTTTTTTCCTCTCCAGCCTGACTGTTCTGAAGATGCACATGCAACATGTGGGCAGTGAAAGAATAGAACAGAATATTTCAGTTGGAAGGGACCTACAATGACCACCTAGTCCAACTGCCATCAAGGCTATGGCCTTGACTTTTGGGTCAAATCTAGAGAATATTAATAAAAGTCCATTTTCGTGTGTGGTCATTAATGAAAGAGCTCAGATTTAGAAATTATGCTGCTTTTTTGCATTGTGCACTGAATTTATGGAAGTAGTATTTGTTTAAAGAGAAGCAATTTGTTCTTCTGAGTAGACTCAGTGACTTTTGCAGTCATGTTAAATTTATTTTCTAGACTACAGTGGATATAACCAAATAGACTTCTGTCAACAGTCATCCTCTTGGAGTTCCTTTTTGCACCTTGAAAGTCTATTTCCACAATACAGTGCTGGGAAAGAAATGCCAGTGACAGTTTTGTTTCAGTGTCTTAAACACCTTGGAATTATGTAAATATCTTCTGCTAACTTTAAAGTCTTTAGCGTATGTTTGTACTCTAAAATGCACATATAAAACCTGACTAGGCACATAATGACTAAGGGGACTTAAGTATAGATGCTTGAGCTGCTTTTGAGACTGTTTTCATTTTTCCATAATAGTGGTACCATTGGTCATTGCTGTAGACTTCAATACTATTTTTGGTTTGTTTTTTATAACTTGCAATTTTCTGCTCACTATATGGCATCTTTTTCTACCATGAAGGTCATCAACCATCACAGTGCTGGGATCAAATTTCTGGAATTGGGAAGGACTGTAGTTGTATTTCATGCTGTGCTGATATGTCGTCTTAAAACAAAACTGAAAACAAACAATCCCCCCAATACACAATGTTTGTAATCACTGTGAACATTTTATCAGTGAGCTGGATATTTATTCAATTCCTGATAAGCTTCAGCAGCACATGAAGCAATTCTTTTGTGATTCTTGCACAGAAGTTTTGAATGTCTTTCTAAATTTGTAAAGTCCTTAGGATTCAAGATCTGTAACTGAAGGATCACTTTCATCCTACTTAAAGATAGATTTCCTCTAGTTCATAGTTTTAGCTCAAACTCTACTGTTCTAACAGTTTAATGAATTTCCATAGTAGGCAACTGGTGTTGATGTTTGTGTGAGTTTCTAATGCTTAAAAAAAACCTAAAATAAAAATCAATCTATTGTAAATTAGCTTGGTATCTGTATTGTGTAAGAACCCTACAGCTCATAGTATATCAGCTTGCTTTAAACTTTTTCATACTAGAAGTTTAAAATCTAATTGTGTTCATGTACTGCAGCAGTATCATTGTGATTAAATCCATCCAGAGCTGCATCTTGTTGCAGCTGCATCTTTAAAAATCTTTAATATTTTTAATCTAGTTTCATTCTATAAATGTATTTGTCCTATCAGTCAACAGGTCCATTAAGTTAGAATGACTTGTATCAGATACTGCTGTTGCTTTTCTGTAAAGAAAATGAAGATAAATGATGGTTTTGGAAGATCGTTCTTTTTTTGTTCTTTAATTAAATAGTAGAAAGTGAGAAGAGTTAAGAGTCAGGTTTTAGACAGTGCTTGAAGTTTATTGCAAAACTAACTATAAGCTCTGTGGTTGTCTAGGAAGGATGTATCTTTACCTCAGAGGAGCTGCCTAGCATATCCTTTAGGGTGTGAGGAGGTTGGTGTTTTGTTTGTTTTTTTTTTTCTGGTTGGCGTGGCTTTTTTTTTTTCTCCACTCAACCCAGCTATTAAGTATCTGTAAGGAACAATATTGTTTTATTTTGGGAAAGTAGGTGGCATTAATTTGCTTCCCCAGAAAAATAGTTATGTTTCTAGGTGACTGCAAAACATAAGAAACTGTATAAAGTTGCTTAAATATAAAGATGCTTTAAAAACAAATTAGAAAACCCTTTTTTTCCTACAAAAAAATTGAGAGTAAGCTGAAATATGAAGGAAAAAATTTACCACTTCTTTTCCCTCTCGTTTTAGGGTACAGTCAATGGTGTGCTGCTAGTGACGCCAAATAATATAATGTTTGATCCTCATAAAATGGATCCTCTGGTCCAGGAGAACGGCTGTGAAGAGTATGGCATCATGTGTCCAATGGAAGAAGTGATGTCAGCTGCTCTGTATAAGGAAATTGTGGACAGCAAAATTAAGGATTCGTTAACCATGTAAGATAGGATAGTATTTATAAAGCTTTAAGTAAATATGAACTGTAGCCATATTGCTGACCATACAAAACTACCAAAACCACATTTTCTTCTGTTGTTTTCCTTTTTAAGAACATCATCAGATAGGCTTAGAAAGACCACTGAGAAAACTTACGTTACCTTAAGCTTTCACATTCTATATACTATATAGAATAAATCCTTTTCTATATACATGGATTCTAATTTCCTCCAATAGTCTCTTTTAAAAATCAGTGTATAGCAAGAGGTACCACACCACTTCCTCTTCCCCTGCCCTGCTATGAAAACAATAACAGATGTGTTTGATTCTTCAGCAATTTAAAAACTGATGTACAGAATAGCAGAGTCCAACTGAAACAGCTTTAGGTGCAAGTCTTTATTGTTTACCACTTTCCACTTGCTTCTCAAACTCTTGTTGCTCTGATAAATGGTTGTAAGACTAATTTTCTGAGACTTGTATATATTTTTATGGTATTAGGAGTATATCTTTTCCCTTTTTGGCCAGGGCAGGAGCTGCATATTTGCCTTTGGGTCTAGCCTTGTTGGGGGTGAACAGAATGAATTTGGATCAGTCAGCTTTAATTACTGGTGTTTAGCGTAGTAGGCATTTAAAACTGACTTTAAACAGCATTATGAAAAATCCTTGTTCTGTTCTGTCTGTTACCTAATTTTTATACTGTCCTCAGAAATAGGATAAATTCTAACATCAAAGCTAAAAAGGATTTTTTTTAAAAAAAGCCATCTTTACCTATCACAGCCCATAAAGCACAAACATTTGCAGACTACTTTGACCATCTAACTGCAGGGAAGTGGACTCCTTTAACCAAGGTAGAATTGTCTATATGTATGGGAGAGTAAAGCTGCTTGCCATTTTAAATAAAGTGTAGAGATACTCAGTAACTCTGAAAAATGTACTTTTACAGTTCTTACAGGTAATATGCTAAGCACATCTTTCTTGATAATCTTAAATATCTGGACAACCAGAAGAAATAACTTGTCTCATGCTATTTTTAAGCTCAGTTTCAGCAGAGACCTGATAGTAAACTGGTATCTTGGCATCGTCTTGTTTGCTGCCTGAAGTCATGCATTTCCTTGAAAGAGCAACTAATATACGTATTACTGTAGTAGTACTTTTGGGGCTTTTGATGTAGAATGATGATGCCTTCAGCATGATTGCTTTCTGGAAGTTCATTTTCCAGATTGAGTTTTACAAAGTTGCTCGTAGTTCCTACTTCAATTGATGCATAGTGCAAATAATGAGATTATGAAAATTAGATATTTCTTTTAATCTGCCTGTTTGAATCATACCATTGCAGTTGCAAAACAAGTCTTTTTCCTAGCATATTTAGTTTCTTAATGACTTACTGTTGACTTACAAATGTACCTTTCATGCCCTGTTGATTTTTGTGGTCTTGTAGCACATGCATTTTCTGTTTTTTTATAATATAAATGAATATGGAATGAAAACATGTCTAGTAATAAAAGGTCACACTATGCGTTGAGCCATGAATGTCCAATTTGATTTATCTTTCTTGTCAACTTTATAAACTATTACATGGAACACGAACTTCTAGCATTTTCTTCAGTCCCAGCACTTTTGTGCCTTAACCTTATCAAAATTTGAGGCATGTTTGTAAATTTGGGGGAAAATAAAATTCAAATTTCTTAAGTCTGTAACCAGAACTCCCAATAGCTACAGCTAGCTCTGACAAGACCTGTGTGTCTCGAGGTATTTGAGACTTAAATCATGTTTTTTCCACTATTTGTTTTTTTCTAAATATTCCATTGTTATAATTAACCCTCTTTCTCTCCCAATTTTGCCAACTGTCAAACCTGTTTAAACTTGGAAAAACAATCTGAATACTGAAAATAAGATTATTGGTATAATAGAAACTGATCACAAAACGAACGGATTCTTTTCTTCTTAAAACTGCAATTTCATGTTGTATGGTTTTTATATATAAGCCACAATCTGTGCTGAAACTGGAAAGAAATATATCTGAAAACATACAGATTTTTTGCGCATTTCCTGAACTTTAGGTTGTGCTTGTCCAAAAGCACCTATTACCAGCATAATCCTGAAAAATTAAGGAAATGGTCCAGTCTAATAGGTGATAAATCCTAAACTCTAATCCACGTGCTTTGTAAGCAAAATTACTACATAAGCACAAGCTTAATACCAGCTTCATGTTAACGCTTGGAGAAGAGAGTGTATATGCTTTGCAAACATCCTGAATTTTAGTGATGTCTCAGTAATGTCAGTAATGACCTAACTGAATAAAAAGCTTTGTAGAAATGGTGAGTGGATTTATCCTTCTTCAAGATGGGAGATTAAGGTATGAGCTTCTTAAAAGCATTTGGTACTAGATAATGGAAGATGTGCTTGTGGTAGCAAGGGAGTTGGCACTGAGAACTCTAGTAAAAAGTATGTTTAAACATGAGATTTTTTTATGAAGGTTGTATACTACTCAGTTTTTTTGGCAACACTGGAAAAGCTTGAGCCATGTAGATATAGTTGAGCATGCTCACAGTCGCCTTGTAGTCCTCCTTTTCTAAAACTCATAGAATTTCTGGTTAGCTTATTTTGAAAGGCAGGTTTGAATAAGATTACTTGCTTTGCAGAAAGGAAGTTCTTTCATGCTTGCCTTTTTTTTTTTTTTTTCCTTACACTATTTATGAGCATTTCCTGTCTGCTCTTTAAATTGTTCAGTTGTACCAAGTAGTTTGGGATTTATTTTGCTTAACAGAGGTATCCTTGAACTTAGGTACCTGACTGGTGAAGACACTAATCTTTTAAGTATTTCCCATGGGCAGAATGGTAATATCTACCTTGGTGGTTCCTGTTCTGCATTGACTGGCTGAGATAGTTAAGGTTAGACAAGATGATTTCTGCCATTCATTTCTTAAGAGTGAGCTAGGTGTCAACTTCATAATAGGGTAGGATAGGTATATAAAATTGTACTGGCCTCTTTCGTAGATAAAGCTTAAAAGATTTTGGAGGATTTCTGCCTTTTAGAGATTATGATTGTATGTAGCTTTTTGTTGGTTTTCCCCTGTTTTTTTTTTATTTTATTTTTACACTCTAAGCATCTCAAACAATCTTGTTGGTTTCATAGGAGAGCTTCTACTTGCAAAAGTAATGCCCTGAAGTTGGGAGGTCCTATCTATGTCATGCTGGCCAAAGGTCTGCCATGAGCTTACTGTTAACGAGAACATATTTTAGGCTTGTTTCTTATTACTGATGCTCTGAATTAAGTTTTTTTAATTTGGTTCTTTTCTTTTTTTTTTTAAGAGCACCCTTAAATTTTTTCAGCATTAACCAAAACTTAGTAAAGAAAAGAGCTTGACAGAAAATGCACCTGCTATAGTAACATTCTTATTTCCTCAACAGAGATGTAGAACAGCTGTCTGTAAGGGAACTTTGCCATTCCAAGAAAGCTGCAAAGAGCAATACAGATGAAATGGATTCCAGGATTCGGGATACAGGCAATGACAGTGCTAGTACTGCCCCGAGGAGCACAGAGGAGAGTCTCTCAGAAGATGTCTTCACAGAATCAGAACTCTCTCCAATACGTGAGGAACTTGTTTCCTCAGACGAGCTTCGACAAGACAAATCTTCTGGAGCATCATCAGAATCTGTCCAAACAATAAACCAGACTAGTGCTGAATGTTTAACAATCATTTCAGACTCAAATGAAGTTGCCAGTGACTTAAAACCCAGTGCTGAAATGGTTGTAAATGTTAAACAGTTTGGTACCCACAGCTTAGGTTTGGAAAGTTCTGAAATGTCTATAAAGGGGGGACAAGAACCTAGTGAAAATATTGCAGATATCCTCCAGCAGTCTTTGCAAGGATCACACAGTAGTGAAGAGCATGACAAAGAGGCAGAAGTGGGTAATGATCAAGATTCCTCACTAGGAAAAGAACGAGAAGGAGAGAGTAAGATGGCAGAGGAAAGTCCATGTTATGAAGATACCACAGATTCTCAAAAGAAAGAGACAACTAGCAAAGGAAAAGTAGCAAGAGGGCAAACGCAAGACTCGGAGACAGAAGTTGAGGAACTCCGCAACCTCTGGAAGACCCACACTATGCAACAAACCAAACAACAAAGAGAAAACATGCAACAGGATTCACAAAAAGAAATTGGTCAGAAAACTGTGACTGCAAGAGATGGGCGATTAGAAGGTGAGTCAGTATTTATGTGTTAGTGTTCAGATTTACAGTGTATGTCCCTCCAGCTTATCAGAATTTTCGTTATTTTTCATTCTGTAGAACATGTCTCCCCATATATTGGTTGTATTTCTCATTGGCTCGAAGATATGCTTAAGTTATACTGTATAGAAACCAGTGAGGAAAATATTGCTCAGGAAAGTGAAAACAGAGATACTTTTGTTACTGTCATTTTTCTTCACTGAAATTGTATTTATGAACATATTAAAAGACAGTATCTTTTCAGGGGAGTTTTAAATGAACCTGTAAAATTAGATCCATGATGCATTGGTCACTGTAGAGCTCAAAATTAAGTGTTCCTTAGCAGTCAGCTAGCTGTCACTTAAATTTTGCTCCCAGTATACATGTGTATGAATGAATTTCAGGGAATGAATTTCATCTTGTTTATAGCACGTCTATCTTGTGGTTAAGGTTTATAACATGAACAACAAACACTGGAGGCTTAACGCTCTTTTATACTTTCAGAACTTTGTTTCGCTTGCATCTTGTCATACTTCCATGCTGACTAGAACAAGGTTGTGCGGTGACTGAATTAAGCGCTTAAGCTATCTGGACAAGATTCCCTTTATTTCACAAAAGAATCCAACTTACATATATTTCAACAAAGATCTAGAAAGAACTAACAGCATACAGCCAATACTACTAACACAGGAGCGTATATCTGGCTCAGCTGGGATGTTTGCCAGTCCTCAGAACAGTTAAAGATAAAAACATTCCATACCCATACTCGTGACTGTCTTCAGCCACATCTTCCCAGGCCTACACAAGGCCATCCTCCAGCCTGACCTTGTATAACTAGTTCTTCAAAGCTTGGCAGACATGCAGCCCAACAAATTCTAACGGTCACCCTTGAAAACAAATGCCAGGTGTTCCAAGCTGCTCCCACATCTCCCTCTTTTTTTGTTTAGGAACATCAGATTCACGAGGGAGGCATCAAGGACTCTAGCTTCGAACTGATGCAATCCTCGTACTGCTCCTCAGATGATTCTGATTGCTGCAAACACACAAATGATTAATAACCCTCCAATAGCAATACAGATTCAGATACACAGATTTAAACCTTCAAACCATGTTTTTGGATTTAACCATTTAACACTATTAGACAATTCTTTAAAAAACACCTTATTCTGCTAATTTTATATATTTCCCATTTGATCTTGTAATATCTGTGCAAGATCTTAGATATCTCCTGCAATATTAGTAGCAAACGCACCTTGCAAATGTGCCTTCACCTAATTCCAATCTCATACACTTTCATTCCTTTGTAAAGGAGTTACACAGAGCCCTTGTTTTTGAAATTCTCAATTACAATGTAATTTCATTCTATTTTGTAATGCACTTTGTCTCTATGTGATGGGTTGATCCTGGCTGGACACCAGGTGCCCACCATAGCTATTCTATCACTCTCTTCTCAGCTGGACAGGGGAATGGGAAATGAGGTTTGCGGTCAGTTCATCACACATTATCTCTGTCGCTTCATCCTC